ATATATTGTTTATTAAATAATTTAAATAATTTGATCAAATTAGGTTAGATTAGATCAGGTCAGGTCAGGTCAGGTCAGATCAAATGAAAATTTAAATCAGGTCAGATTTTTGTTTGACCTGACCTGATCCTCTCAGTTTAGGTAACTTGATTGACCTGATCTATTTGGAGTTCTATATGAGGCATTATGAATGAGAAGCTGAAGAACTATTGAATTAAAAGTGGATTGATCTAGAGCATCTACTTTATCATTAAAAATATTATCTGCATGAGCTTTAACTTTAATTATATTAACGGTGAGGTTGTTTGTATCAATGATTTAAAAGACACAATCAATGCACAAAATTAGATTTTGAGAACATGCTGAAAAGTTGAGGATCTTATAAGAAGGGATTTAAATTGCTTGAACTATGAAATGACCACTGCTGAATCAGTATAAATGGTGATAGCACAATTAGGATAAGCAGTCAAAAGAGATGTGAAAATAGCTGCAAATTCAGGAATTGATAAAGATGGAAAAGATGAAGTAAAATTGTAAAATTGGCAAATTTTGATGAGTCTATAACCAAGCTAAAACCTATATAAATAGATGGAAGACTAATGTCTTTAAGAGATCCATCAGTATAAAATTCTAAGGCAAAAGAGAGTAAGATAAATTTAGTAATTGACTATTATACATTAAAGAAATAAATTTATCAATTAAATTAATAAAATTGGGTGAAGTAAAAGATTGTGGTATTGTAAAAAGATTTGTGTTAAAATTAAATAAAACAAGTTAGAGCTAATCCGTTTAAGGCACTAATTGACAAAACACTATAAGTAGTGTCAATGTGTTTACTTTTGAAAGAAAAGGATATGGCTAAACAGAAATCTAAGGGTGATATAAAAAAACATCTGTATTGAAATCATTAAGATTTGGTAGCTGAATCCTGATGGAGATGGTAATGACTACATAGATCAAGAATTCTGTAATTGTGGGAACCAATTTAAGAAGTAAAATGCATCAAATAAATTGTGTTTCAGTCAACGTGAGTAACTTTTCTAAGGATAAACAAATTTAAAATAGAGCTTTAAGCAACTATAACATTTGTTGGTGTAGGGGTCTTAGGAGGTAGATGAAGCAAATAATCATAGCAATATTTGTGTTTGTATGAGTGTATTAATTGTAAAAGTCGATCTGGTTGGGATTCAAAAGTCTTTTTAATATTGATAACTATTTTAGGGCTTAGAAGTTACGCGTTTCAAGATGTGTAATAGTATAAAAGCCACTGAAAGTGAATGTGTAGTTGCCTTGATAGCTGATTAATTATTCAATAAAAAGGATAGAAAATTTTCTTAAATCAGAGCGTTCTTTCTATAGAGATCTGATATTAAATTAAGGATTAGAACATTACCACCAGTGATCATATTTTGTATAAATGAAGAAGCAACTAAGTTAAAATCGAGTTGTTTTAAAATACATAAAAGAGTTGGAAGCCAGTCATCATTTGTTGATGGGTTGTAAAAGTCCAATAAAATAAAGGATTATTGTAGAGCCATTCTTTTATTTATAATTGCAAAGTTCAAATTCAGAAGGAAATTCCAAGAAGTTCATTCTTATTTATCATATGTAACAAAGCATTGCTAAAATTTTGGACAAGTCTCTGAAATAAAGGAGTCAAATTATAGAAATAATTTGAAAAAATTATGTCTGAAGGCGTTTTTCTAGACAATTTTAATTTTCTTTTGATGAAAGCTACATAGATAACAACGAATTTCTTGCATTGGGATTCCAGTTGTATGGTGAGCTGAAATCTGTATTCTAAATGAGGTAGAATAACTGTATTAAAGATGTAAACGAGCTGCGAGTCTGTGAGTCTTTATTTTCATAATTAGAATGACCTTCTTAATTTCATCATGTAATTGATCATGAATAAATCTTTTGTTAGGAAGGAGTGATATCCAGTTGGTCAAGTATTTGACGCTACTTTTGGGAAATGTAGGGTAATGGAGCAAATATTGTTACCACTTTAGTTGTCAAAATTTTCTATTTGAGGGGAATTAACTAAGAGTTCCGATTTTGACCAGTTGACTTAAATATCGTTAAACGCAAAGAAGCTGTTTGTGATGTTAGTAATACAAGTTAAATCATTTCTGGACCTAGCGAGCTATAGAGTATCATCCATATAAGCTAAAGTTGGTATTTTATATTATTGTATAACGTTAAATGAAAGTCTCCATTCCACTTTCATATTATAACCATGCTGTATTTCATTTATTTTACAAAGCAAAAGGTCGTAATAAATACACTATAAGAGTGGAAAGATAACTTCTCCTTGATCGATTCCAGAATGAACAAGGTAAGTATCTATATTACTGTACGCAGTGAATACTTGATTGAAACGAGGGAGGAAAATACATAAAATAATATGAATAAAAGTGAAAAGAATATGTAACCTTACCATGACTCTCGTTAAAGTAAAAATGTTGACTCTATTATAAGCCTTCGACATTTTTTGGAGGAGAATCCATAACTCTGATTTATTGAAAATGGCGTCTTGTTTGATGTTATCAAAGATATGAATGGGATCAATAGTAGATTTAAAAGGAAATCTGGCAAAATATGCAATGGTTGGTTGTAATATATTTTCTTAATTTCTTGGTCTAACCTTAATGAACAATTCAGGACAAGTGGTTATAGTAGTTAATACAGTTTTTAAAGAAGATTGCATATCCACCAAATCGATCTCATATATTCTATATAACAAGCTATCAAACAAATTTATTCGATCATGATCAACTTTCTTTCTAAACAGATCCTTAATCCCCCACCAAACATGATGAAAGAATATTTCTCTAGTTCGAAACCTTTAACCATCCATCTACCAGGATTAAATTTTTCGGGTTCTTCCCAATAATCTTTATGTTAATAAATCGAAACTGCGTTTACATGAAACATTGTACCAGCTGGCCATTTTATAATCCGTTAATTCATCAGGTTCTTGACTACATCTCACCATCATGTTTGCAACCAGTAGAACGCGATCAACTTCTTTTATTATCACTTTACAGTATTTAAGTTTGTGAAAATCGTCTTTCGTGATTGGACACGTATTGTCACCCTAGAATATTCCATCAATTTTCTTTTAGCAGCTTTTCTTCAACTTTGAATATTGAGCAATATGATAGATAATAAATGTGATCATATTCACGGTCTAAATTAGAAAATAAATGAATAAATTGTAAATACAAAATTTTTTAATCTTAACAGATATTTGAAAAAATATTATACTTACTGTATCAGTTCCACCAAGGAATGCGTCAAATAAAATATCACGAATTTCAAGATCAGTCATGGCTCTGTCTATTCATAGCTTTACCTTCAACAGTTTTGATATAATTAATATCTCGAGGCATACTTGCCATGATCAGCGAGGTCAGCATATCATTTGAGGTTTCTCCAGCGATGTATTTTCAATTTCTTGTCTGCGTCTCTTAATAATGATCTCTAACCTTTGATAGATAAATCTAACATTTTTAAGCAAATCGTCTGACCAATTCTTGATAAATGAAAAGTAATGTCTAATGAAAGGTGGGATAAATTTAAACATTGGCCTCTTACTATGTGTTTATGAAATACTCAAACAAATTTCTTAGAATCATGGACTATCGCTTGTAAATGCATGGCTTTTTCATCACTTTGAGTATTAAAATAAGTAGCCATCGTATAAGATCTTTCACCAGTTGTCAAAGTGATAATCATATCATTTGTGTATCTGTTTAACTATGCAGAAAAAAAATTTTATTCTTATTTTCTTTAATTATTTCACCTTTGAGATATAACTTGTTTCAATAACTTTCCAATTCATTAAATAGTTCATTTGTCCAACCAATAGCCTTATGAAAGAATTTCAGTGCCAAAATTGCTTGTGAGAAGAATAGCAATTATACCTCCATGATTTCAAATCATGATTCGCCAGTTACCCTTTCCCATCATTCCCAATTCTTCAAATCCTTTGTTGTAGGAAATTTCATCATGTATTGGCTCTTTGTTGAAGGCATCAATAGTTTTTCAGCATATTCTGTATGACTGAGGATTATATGTCAGAACTCCTAAGTGAACTTTGTATATATCACCATAAGTCTTTTGATTACATTCTGTAAATGTTTTTAAATTTCCGCCATGAATGAATAGGAGTTGAGGTAAATTCCCAAATAACAGGAGAGGGAATGGACCAGGTAAAGGATTAACGCGAATGAAATACTTGTAATAATACTATGCTATGTATATTGCTAATAAGATACCTGTCAACGAAAGGTAATCATGAAATACAAATTTTCTAATTGTTTATGCAGGGTCATAATTATACTTTATGAAAATGAATTATTTCAATTTAATTTCTTTTCTTTTTGATCTTTTAATTTTAAGTTGAAAGTGCCTGCATTTTATATCAAAAAAATGAGGCAGATAAAATATTCCCATCATGAGGTGACATAAAAGATCTGACGTTCTTTATGGAGTTTCAGCTAAATTTTGCTGATATTCAAAATCATGCATTTATTGATGTAAATATTACCCAAAATTAGTAAACTAAAAAATAATATATTGTAATATGACTTAAAAAAGTAAATTGCATGATCCATTACGAGGAAATATCTTAATCACAAGATATATTTCAATAAAATTTATTTCTGAGTGGTTAAAAAAAAGTATTCTGCAAAAAGTACCCAGGTCTAGGTTTCGTGTGTGACTGCGACATCAGCGTAGCCCTTTTTATTATTATCAATACAAAAAGAACAAGAAGCCGGTTGCTCTAATTTCCTAGTAAAAAACAAAATTCTCTGATACTGCTCTGTGAATTATTTCCAGGCATTTCACATTTCGCATGCAATACAAATTCCTTAATTAAATGGGCATAAATGTTAACCACCGTTTCTCTCTCAAGTGAAACGTCACTAAAAACTTTATTCTGCTTTGCTGTTATACTATTATTTACAAATTCAAGTTACTAGACTAGTTTTAATATATTCTTTTAGGTTGCTCATCAATAAAATTTGTGATTCACGGAATCACAGATCATTATTACCCTTATTGCGAATATCTGTATAGTTATGCGTTAGTTCTCAAAAATCTCTTTAATTCATATGTACATATTAATCATATTTTATTACATATGCGAATAAACTCAAAGCAATATTAGCTTACTGTATTTTATCGAAATTAAGCACCCACTTTTTATAATAATTTGGACGAAAAGTTTGGGTGGTGCTTAATTTGATACTTTTTTTAAATGTGATAAAAATCAACGTTAGGGATGCAGATCCTGATATTTTTGAAATAAAAAATTTTTTTCCTCTAACGATTTTATTACTAAACGAACTTCTGAAAAATGGCCTAATATTTTACCATAGAGCAAAAAAGTGTTTAACACTAATTTTACATTGATTTTATTGCCAAGTTTTACGTTTTCAATATGACATATTGAACTTTTCTTTGAATTCAAAATTTTTGAGATATTTATCAATTCATTGTTTGAAATCTTAGAATATTTGTTAAATTGTCTTTTTAATTCTTTTATTATTATAAAAAAAATCCCTATACTCTTTTCTTCCTTTAAAATTTTCTCCTTTTTTCTCTTACAAAATACTTACAACCAGATAATAATTTCAAAAATGAAAAAAAAAATTTTGATTATTTTTTTTTCTTAGCTAAGCTACACACATGATCGAGTTTAATTGGAGGGTTTTCAATTACGTGTTAACGCGAACTTTCAAATTTCATATAATTTTCTAAAAACCTTTTTTTAAAAATGTCAAAAGTTATTAAATGTCAACGTGCTTCATATTCTATTGAACAAAAAAAAACTGTTGTTACTTATGCTATTCAACATGGAAGAAATGCAATAAGATAACATTTTAACTTGATCAAACTATGGTTAGGCGCTGGATTAAGGCAAGCAAAACTTAGACAAGTAAAATAAAAGATAAAAGTATGCAAGTGGATTCTGGCCAAAAGGCTTTCTATCTTGAAGCTGAAGAGAAACTATATAATTAGGTTTTAGAGTAAAGAATAAAGGGATTAGCTATAACATTTGTAACTTTAAGAATTTCAATATTTGAAATTTTGGAAGAGCAGAAATGATAGTTTTTTATGATGATTTAACAACAGAGTTTAAAGCAATTACAGGTTGGTTAAATGCATTTATGAAGAGGTATAATTTATCTAGGCGTTGACGTACTAAAATATCACAAAAACTTCCTGAATAATTAGAAAAAAAATTAGAAGAATTTTACCAATTTGTTATACATCTTAGAATCCAAAAATCTTTTAAATTGTGTAATATATTTAATATGAATGAAATACCAGTTTGGTTTGACATAGCTGGAAATTTTACCATTAATACAAAAGAAGAAAAACTGTTCATATTCGTGGAACAGGCAATAAAAAAAACTGGTTTACTGTTATTTTAATATGTGCTACAGGTAAAATTCTTATAATTTAATAATTCTAATATAATTTTCAATTTTTTAATTTTTTTTTATTATAGATGGAGCCAAATTATCACCAATTTGTATTTTTAAGGGAAAACAAATGCCGCGTGAAGAAAAGGTTCCTTCTGGTATAGTTGTATAGTTTCAAAAGAGTGGATAGATGAATGCTAACTTGATGAAACATTTCATTGATTATCTTAATCATATGAGAAATTCAAATAGCCAATCCAAATTTCCAGCTATGATAGTTTATGATTCTTTTAGAGGGCATTTAGAAGAATCAGTCAAAGAAAAATTTAATAAAAGCAATATTGATTTAGTAGTAATTCCTGGTGGTTTAACTAGTAAATGTCAACCAACCACTTGATATTGCTATTAATAAACTATTTAAGGATAATTTTTGCAAAGAATGGCATTTTTGGATGTCTAATGGTAGTTCTGGATATACAGAAGCAGAAAATCTTCAACATGCAAGGATAAGTGATATTTGCGGATGGGTAAAACACGCATGAGAAAATATTTCTAATAATATCATCATTCGTTCCTTTAAAAAATGTGGTATATCTAATGCTTTAGATAGATCTGAAGATGATGCTATTTATGAAGAAATAGATGAATTTCTTAAAGAAATTGAAAATGAAAAAGAGGAGAAAGAATTTGAAATTGTTAATATAAATGATGATTAGAAATTATTTTTTTACTATATTTTGTCATATTTTAATAAAAATCAATAAAGTATAAGGTGCTTATTTTCGATTTTTATATAAAATTACACAAAATAAGAGGGTGCTTATTTTTGAGGGGTGCTTAATTTCAATAAAATATGGTATTAGTTAGAGTTAACCAAATTTAGAACTCCCTATCAAAATGTCTCGATTTATGATTATAGAGGATAATTGTTATCTATGTACATTTTCTTAGTCTTGCATGAATGAAAAATATTTCTAAGAAAACAAAATATTCCAAGACCTTTCATTTAAACTCAATGAGAGTATATGGAAAACTGGTACAGTACGATTCGTCAGACCAGTATGGTACGATTATGCAGATCAGTATTTTTCGTGAAATTTGAATTGTACTGTATCATACTTGTAATTATATAAAGCTTTATTATAAAACCAATACAGTACGATACAAATTTTAGAAAATTGTTCTGGTTCGCACTGCATCATTTTTGAATTTTTAAAAATTTATATTTTTGACAAGTAATTTTTAATACAACGGTATGTTTGTCAAAATAAATTCAATTAAAAAGAAAAGCATTACATTACTACAAAAATAATAATTTATTTTAATATGATGCATTTGTCCTTCAAAAAAAATGATTATATTATTATTATTTTTTTTTTATTGAAATAAAAAGGAATATAATCAATAATTGGTTAAATTTTAATTTAATACATTATAAACTTTATATTATTAACATTTATTATGAAAGATCATACCATATCGTATCATACTGGTCCTATAATAAAAGCTCTATATATATTGTATCGGTATGGTATGATTCAAATTTTGTGAAAATATACTGATCTGCACTGTACTTGTCTAGCGAATCGTACCGTACTGGTTTAATGTAATGTTATATAATAATGAAATGCAAATTTAAAAAATTTTAATATTAAAAACCTTTTCCCGGCTATGATATATATGAAATTGCAAAATATATTAGATCTTCCCAAAAAAGAATCCAAAAAATATAAGAAATAAAATAATATAGAAAATAAATGTTATAAAGATTTGAGCTGTAATTGCGTGGTTAGTTTGAATTATGCCTTTTTTATTATTCCTCTTAACAACAAGAATATGTCTGAATTGAACCCAGTTCAATATGACACAAAAATAGCGACCCAATACTTTTGAACAATTGTCAGAATTATAGCAAAGTTTTCTTTTAAATTATAAATGTCAAGTATAAATATTAACTTAAGAATTAAGGTTAAATGATGCACTATACTTCAAAGCTATATTTGGAATATGGATCCCATTTTTCTGAAGTCATATCTAATTGCTCTAAAAAATTGTAACATGTGCTGTGAAGAAATTGAAATCTATTTTCAGTTCTAAAGTAATAAATATAAAGAAAAAAATGGACTGTTAATATAAAGTTACGTATTCACAAATAAAATTCAGGTTAAATTACCTGTTTATATTTAATCGCTTAAATATTTGCAAAGGTTTGTTTTTGAATAAAAAGTAGTAAAAATGATTTAATTTTGATAATGACTAATTAAGAACTATTCTCGTACTTCCTTCAAATCCGTAATTTAA